GGGGGGGGGGGGGGGCAAGAATTTAGACAGTATATTATTTTTGTACTTTTAAAGTTACAGTTGTTGCAAAAGGAATGCTACATTGAAAATATTTTATAAAGACTGATTACAGCATTAGCCGTATAAGTAAATGCACTAAAACTGTTTGGTACGGCTATCACTTTTAGCATCATAATACAATACTGTTTATTTAATTTTAAGTTTTACACTTGGCTTATAAATACTTAAAGTTTTTGATATTTAATATAAATTAGCAACACTATGTTTAATTATTTTATTAAAATTTTATTCGTAAATTTTTAGAAACAAAAACCCCAAGAAAAAATGGCCTTGGATAACGAGCTAGCAGTGGATATAATCCAAAGTGTGGGCCGTTACTGGTCAGACAATGAACTCAGTGACTGTAGAATTTCTGTGGATGGCCAGGTGTTTCAGGCCAGTCGCTTCCATCTCAGCGCTTGTTCAGAGTTTTTCAGGCAAGTTTTTCACACTGAGTCTATCACACACAAGGAGAATATCGTCATTAAGGGGATCAGTGCTGATGTGTTTAGTTGTGTCATCAAGGCGTTGTTTACAGGAGTTACCGGACTTGATGAATCAAATATGGTAGATGTATGGCTGGCTGCAAGTTATCTGAAAATTGATTATTTGGTCAAGACATCTGAGCAGTTTATTGAAGAGCATTTGACAACACAGAACTATGTTCAACTGTGTGAGAGGATTTCTTGCATGGATTCTGCTGAAATCAACAAGAAACTGGTCAGTTTGATGGCTCAAGATTTTGAAGCGTTTAGACAAACAGAAACTTTCTTAAACCTGCCATCGGAAATGGTTATCAAAATTGTAGAAATTGGAGAGATTAAATCCCAGGACATTTTAGTTGAGTCGGTGCTGAAATGGGCCAGTCTTGTCCCTAAAGATTTAGTCGGGTCATTCGGTCTTAAGTTGTATCATGACTTCCAGGATCTCATGGAGAAAAATCGTGACGATTCTTGTGTAACCTTTGGCTTCACTAAAGAACACGTGTGTCAGTTTGTGGCTGATGAGGTCGCCAGAAGCCGAATTCTTGGTCAGTTGATCAAGAAAGTGAATCTTGGTGAACTCAGTGAAACTAGCCTGAAGATGATTTATGAGGATAAGATAGCTATAGAACATCAGGATGTTAAAGATGTCGTCATGCATGAATTGGCAGCCCGGGTGTTGTACAGAACCGACAACAAAACTGTTGCAGTTTATCAGAAAACACAACCTGATAGCTCACCCAGCGACTCGCAGTTGCCCAATGTAGAGTGTGAAGACAAGCAACTGACCAAAACCGTTGAAAAACCTGTCGACATAGATTTAAGAGAATTCAGTTTAGGGCATATTAAGAGCTACGATATTTTCGAGGTCCCTGATTGGGTAGTTGCAAGTTACGACAGGATAAAAAAATTACGTCCAGCCTCAGACTGCCGTGGATCTATCAGAAAAATGTTACTTAGACGAAAGTGTTGTGTTTTTTACAAATCAAACTTTTGTTATGTTCTATTTTGAAAAACATAAATTTTATAAATTGTTTGAAACAGAAAGTAAAATAAAACAATTTTATGTCTTTGAAAATAATCTTTATTATAGCCACGATGTAGATAAAGACTGGACGATTACAATGAAAATCACTGGCCCAAATCAATCAACATTAATATATCAAGGCTCTATAAAAAATTCAACATCCTTTAACATAAGATATTTTATTGCATTTCCTTTTATCTACAAAATCGAACTGAACAAAGCAAAAGTAATAGTTTCGAGAACTGTCATTAGAGAGAGCAGAAATGATGTATGGACAACCATTCTGAGCGATGAAATCTCGAACTCCGACGACCCTCATTTTAGCTTTTACTACATCTTAATTAAAGGAAACAATATCATCTTGTTTCTGTCGGGTGACGAAAGTAAAATTGTTTACTTTGATGTCAACTCTCATCAACTTCATCATATACACAGTGTAGAATGTGAAATGGCTAACTATAAAATATTCGAAATGCATGAACGTCATTTCATGTTACTTGGCAATGGTCTGTTATTTCAGATTGTCCATAAAGAAAACATTAGCATTATCTTCCGTCAAATAATGTGGAAAGGCACTTTAAATTTGCATGGCGTATTCCACCAGATCATGGGCTGTGGCTACAGCCTGTATGTGTTCACGGATAAAAGAGCAAATGTGGAAACTATTGGTAGGAATACATATAATATACATCAAGTTCGTTTGGACTCTTTTATTTTCAATCGGCAATGTGAATGTATGGGAGTTCATCATAGCTGGCTTATAAAAGAATTGTTACGTTAAAAGTAATATATAGTGCTGCCAGTTCAAAAAGCTTTTCTTTTAAATAGTAACTCTTATTTGTATTTAAACCATAACTAAAATATTAAGCATAAATTACTATTAAATAAATAATTTAATAGGGGAAGTTGGTGTCTTTTTCCGTAAAAGCTCTGCAGATAGTAGGCTAATTATGCATTAAGTTGCATCTAAGTCGATGTTCTAGATTCTAAGAGCAAAATCCGGGTGCATAGAACTTCCAAGCTTTTCAAATTTTGACGATTCACCTTGTTAGGATATACCACGCAGAAAGCAACAAAGTTTAATTTATGTAACAATCAAGTAATTTATCTGTTTACATAGAACAAAACAAAAATGTCACCATTTAATTTAAAAAAAGGAATCTTAGATGCTGATAGAAACATTTATGTACAAGATGTATCTTTAACAGCGTGATAAAGAATGTGTATTTAGAATTTAATAAACTTTTTTTTATGTATGATGAATCTCCTTGTTCAAATTAAATCTTATTTCTCAAGTCAGAATTTCCAAAAACAAAACATAAGTTAAATGTGCTAATTACATTTGTTCATTTTTGTTCTAAACCTGTATTGAATGATAAATTATCTTTGGTTTATGACATAAATTATTTATGATTAAAGGCAAATGTTTTTCAAATTGTTATAGTTTTTCCCAGAAATTGTCTAAAAATGAATAGGCGAAAAATAAACGTCATAATTAAAATCATATTAGATCTTATTTTCTATGCATTTTTTGCCTGAAAAAAAATTGTGTTTACTTTAAAGGAATTTAAAGGAATTGTTGTAACCGTGCGAAAATCTCGACTCTTTACAACTTCTTAACTCGGAAATAATTTTTTTTTTTTGCAATCTTCCAAGAGTATTTTTGCCTATCTTCTTAGTTTTTTTATCTGCCTCTTTATTCGTCATTTTGTCCGATCCCCCGCCATGTTTCATGTCATGTGACTCCCTCCCCACAAGTAGGTCACATGACTCACCCCCACATATCTGGTCACATGAAGAACACATATTGTGATTATAAAAAATAAAACAAATATAAAAAAAACTTTTATAGCAACACGCTTTTAAATGCACAGAAAAATAAAAACTAATTTGCTTTCTTTCATAACAGCTTTAGTAGCTAAAAGATGTAAAATATTTCATGAGCAACCAAAACCTTTTATTAAAGAAAGCAAATTAGTTGTATTTATTTACTTATTTTCAGTGCATTTAAACGTATTTCTAAAAAGGATTTAATAATGTGTTTTATTTTCTACTAATTACGAAGTTGACACGGCTAAAAATATATGTTTTAAAAACACCAGCATTAGCTCGCAACTATCTGCCATGTGAAAGCAACCGCCCATGACCTTATTTACAGACGACATCAAGTTCTTAACCTTGTTACATCCTCTAAATTATTTAAAACGTAATGATCTGCCATTAATAGCCTGCACTAGAACGCAGAGGAGTAGCGACCCTTCCCGGCGCCCGGGGACAAACTTTCGATCGCTTTGAACCCCCGCCCCCCCCCATCGAACTTTTGATTTGCACCCCCAACCCCTTCAAACTTTCGATTTGTAACCAATCGAACTTTTGATTTACACCACCCCCCTTTCAATTTGTTTTTCCAACCCATTTTGGCGCCCCCCCCCCCCCTAACGTCGGCGCCCGGGGACATATGTCCCCCCCGCGCGCCCCCCCCCCCCCCCCCCCCCCCCCCCCGCTACGCCACTACTAGAACGACCGAATTTCGAATTGTAAACATTCTCGTGAACCACAGCTCACCAAACTTGTAGGGTGATCGCTTCTATTGAGTTATCTCCCCTTCTATTATTGAATATAGTAATCTATCCAGTGATTTAATTTTGTTATCTCCATTTAGTTTAGAAACAGTTTAACTACTTTTAATGACTTATTATTTGAAATTCCAATTAAATTGAAAAAAAAAGACCTTTATTGTCATCGAAGTGGAACGTATCTGGAAAGTTTGAACGAAATCGCTGCATTAGGATTGGGTCAAAATTGAGTTACAGGATTTGCCAAACAAACAAACAAACAAGCAAACAAAAAACGTTGCGAACAATTTAAAAAGTTTAAAAAGTAGTAAGCTTTTTATTGTAAAAAAATGTAAAATGAGAAAAACAGCCAAAAGTAACAAAAGTTGGGAACAAATTCTGTTTAACTTGTAAATCAAGCTTTCCAATGATGCAAAATACAAAATGATGACAGATATTAAACTTTTCGCGGTGGGCGTGTAAGATTGGAAAAGAACATGATAGCTTTTTAAACACATTAATTATTGTCTCATGAAATTTTTCATTTTCTTAATACAAAAGTGGAAAAAATATCCAAAAGTGCAAAAAAAAAACATTATAACGAAAAAAAATTAAGATTTTCGTGAATTTTTTGCTGCGCAAATCTCCTTAATGGCGGAGAAGGATTGAGAAAATCAAATTACAAAAAACAATCACCGCTCATGTTATCCAACAACACGACCCGAGTTTGACCTAGCCATTTACTGATGTTTTCACCAGCGGATAAATCAATTGTTCGGACAATCATGTGATTATTGAACGAGAAATCAATATATTAAATTTTAAACTCGACTCATTAAAAATCACATTATAAAACTCAAGGTTTTCTTAGGCTTAATGTGTACATCGATTCGTTGTTTTAGCTCGCGAGGCCTTGCAATGTAGATGGTAATTGTGTCGGGTTTATAATCAGACACAGCGACTGAGGTAAATGTACAGATGGTCTAGGCACGTCTTGACACAAGATTGACACGAAGATGAAGACAAGACGTTGTCAAAAACCTGGGAAGCTTGTCTGTTTCTTGAGTCTGGTCTGTGTGTTGGTTGTTTTCATGATCGTAGCGAGTTCTTTTAATTATGGATATGTTCCTACATTAGGAGGAGTTTCGTTGGAACTGAGCTTAAGTACAAGTGGGTAGACTAATTCATTTTTTATTAGCATATTTAAAATATATACAATGTTAAGAAAAACTATTCGTTAATGTAGTACTATAATTTATTCAACCTATATGTATTTACAATTTAAAAAAACCCACTTTATTACTGAAGTTATTTTAGATTATATTGCCTGTAAAATATTTTTTGATCAGAAACATATTGATTACGTTTGAGTTATTGCAATGATCGGTTAGTTCTAAAATAAAGTATGCCTGTCGTTAGATAACAACAACATGACAATTATATCTTGTCCACAGCGGGTGATAGGTTTCATACCGTGAGAGAATATTTGGCTTCTGAAAAACTCATGCATTCGGTCAGCGAAGACAGAACAATGGGTGATGAAACAGACTCACCACAAGGTGATGACACATCTGATGGGGACACATCTGATGGTGACACATCTGATGGTGATACATCTGATGGTGACACATCTGATGGTGACGCACCTGAAGATAATGCTATTGAAACACATGACCGTGAAATACCTGAAGATGATGTAACTGACACACCAAAGAGTGGTGAGACAGACACAGTTCAGGATAACGACACATTAGATGGTGATAACACACCTGAATTTGATGTAACAGACACACCTGGAGATGATGACACACCTGGCGATGATGATACACCTAGAAATGGTTACACACGTGAAGATGATGTAACAGACACAGCTGTAGACGATAACACACCAGGGGATAATGACGAACCTGGGGATAATGACACACCTGGAGATAGTGACACACCTGGAGATAATGACACACATGGAGATGAAGACACACCTGAAGATGATGACACAATTGGAGATAATGACGCACCTGGAGATTATACCACACCTGGAGATAAGGACACACCTGGAGATGAAGACACACCTGGAGATGAAAACACACCTGAAGATGATGACACACCTGGAGATGAAGACACACCTGAAGATGATGACACACCTGTAGATGATGACACACCTGAGAGTGACGACGCACCAGACAAAGATATAACGGACACACGTCTAATTAACCACAAAATACCTAATGACCTCTTCACCTCTCCATTCATCGTTTACACCGACGCCCGATTCGCATCTACCACCACCTACAACACCTCTAGCCTCAACATGAGTTTAGACTTGTACATGCGCAGTCAGACAGGAAATAAAAGCTACAGCCCCAACCCTTTATCCCGTAATGCAAAATTCGTCGTTAAAGACACGGGTTCGAATCCTGTCCGTGCCAGGACCTTTTCTGTCGTGATGTCGTGTGAAAATACAACCAAGCCATGTTTTCAAGTCTTATTTTACAATCACGCGACTTGCTGGTCTAAGTCATGTAGCTTCACATATGACTGGAAAAATGCTGATGTTCTGGTGATTACAGGCAACAAGTAAGTTGGACTGTCATCATATTCTATTGTTTACATAGGGAACAAGAATGTTTAGATTTCTCTTTTCTACATTTTACATAGGCAACAATAATCTTCGAAATTTTGATACTTTCTATTGGAACAATCGGCGATTAAATTAGAAAATAACAGCAGGCAATCTTTTGCCTCTAAGTTTTTTTTTTTTTTTTTGAGGAAACAATAATTCAAATATATCATACGTTTTAATGTGATCTTTTCATGCTAAGGAAAAACATTTTAATAAACTACTAGAATACCCGTCATCCGTTGGATAAATGGGTTTCGGGGGTCATCCATCAAAAAACATCACGTCTGTCACTCAGAGGCATAACGACCCTTCCCGGTGCCCGGGGACAAACTTTTCGATTTGAACCCCCCCCCCGCAAGATTTCGATTTGCAACCCCCCCCCCCCCCCTCAAACTTTTGATGTGCACCCCCTTCACTCAAACTTTCGATTTGCACCCCCCTCAACCTTTCAATTTATTTTTCCAAAACATTTTGGCGCCCCAACATATGTCCCCCCCCCCGCCTTCCCTTCCCCCCCCCCTGCCTCCCCTCCCCCTCCCGCCCCCCCCCCCCCTCCTCGCTACGCTACTGCAGTGTCACTTATCGTCACAAAAAACAGACCCCACATTCAAAAATATGTTTTTTATCTTTTAAAAACACCGAAAACACCGATTTCGGACTATCCCTTCATATACTGACGTCACATGTGACCTACTCAACTCTACTTCACCTGCCCAGTGTCCCGCCAAGTCTCAGACAACATGTTTTTATCGTTTAAAAAACGATTCCAGCCGAGCATGTCTCTGACCACACTATCCTTTCATATGCTTAGGACAAAGAAACAGATGAACTCTACTTCACCTGCCCTGTATCCTGCCAAGTTCAGATAGGCAACTTTATCATTCACATCTAAAAAAAAAGTTGAAAAAAAAATATCATTGACATATTGGTCTAGAACCTGTGCCACCCGCATGAGAGCCGGCTACACTACCAACTTAGCTATTTACTCGTGACGTCACAAATGAATTTTTATACTATACTTTGTGTCTCCTTATGCAACTTGATTTACGCGCATAGATTTAGATCTAAGTCTAGTAGTAGTAACTTTCAAATTAAATTTTATCTTAAATTAGCCAAACAAAGATTTATATAAAATAATTAAGGCCTGAAATAGATTCTAGATGTATTAAGGCCTGAAATAGATTCTAGATGTAGAATTTACATTAAGTCTAGATCTAGAATTTACATTGAGTCTAGTGACCTAGATCTAGGCTAGATTCATAACTTTCCTTCGACAGCAGATCTTTAGATCTAGAGAAATTTATTGTAAAACTAAATGAAAAAAGACAGTTGAAAATTGATATAAGTGTTGGAACGTAATAAATACAGCAAACGGACGTTGTGTTAAAGTTATGACCGACAGAAAATTAGATTTAGAACGCGTTAAACTTGTGAATGGGAACACAATTTTCTTCGATAGACGCCGCCATTTTATTGTACTAAAGAGTAAACAAAAAACTGTGACGTCACGGTCCCGCCGAGTGTAGTGGTCGTTCTAAACTTTAAAAAAAAAATAGGGTTACTCTACGTATGAATAAATCAATAAATTAATTAACGTCTTTAAATAAATGTGTGATTAACAGTCTGTCTGCATTAAAAAATTATTCTCTACCTACATACTATTTTACAGTTCTCCAGATATAGTAGAACATATCACAATACTCGATCGGACAAACAAACAAAAAAATAAATATTCAAACATGTAAACAAACTTGACTTTTAGTAGTATTAGATTAGATAGATAAATATTTCAAAATTTTGTGCAAGAAAAAAACAATTTTACAGTGAATGAACACATGATCACTACAGTACTTTTTAAAATGTACCTAACACAAACTAATTTGCAAATAGTAAAGGGAAAAAAATATAACTCTAGATTTTAAAAGTAAATCGATATCTATATAATCGTTTCCATTGATACAACTGTGTTGGTACATGGTATATAAATGAACACGAGATTGAGTCGAGTAATGAAGATAACTTGATCACAGTGCTATCAAATAAAATGCATGCACTACCACGCATATTAAAGACAAATTGAACTATTTTTCTTGCTATAGTTTTGTTTAAAATAACTTCTCTGCAAAATCTTAACTATCTTAATATTGAGAAAAGAAGGTCAATCATTGTCAGTTTGACATTGATCACAGCTCAGGTAGGCGTGTAACAGGTATAGATACATGCAGGTGTATCGACCACAACTTATCGATTGATGAATGAACGAACGTGAGAAATAAACGTCAAGACCAACACGAGCATTTTAGGATTGATAAAAACACGATATGTGAGAGTCCTTGTTGTTGTTAGAATTATGGGGACAAATTGTATGGACGCATTATATATATATATATATATATATATATATATATATATATATATATATATATATATATATATATATATATATATATATATATATATATATGACTGCATCAGTCAAAAGTAATGAACAATATTCGTTTTCAATTCCAATTTAAGATGTAATTTTTTTTTTATTTCAAAGATAATAAAGATACTCTATTATAAACAAATAAGAGTACATTATACTTAACTTATCTGCGTTTATTATTAACACAGATTACCAAGTTATTATTGATTTTTTAACTTTTAAACCTTTTTCGATCAGTCACATCTGTTAGTTTAATTTATGGTTTATTTTTTATAAAATCGAGCTTAAAAACAAACACTAGAGTACAAATGTTCTTGTCTATCAATTAATAAATCTAGCTACTGTAATACATAACTATCGCCACTGCCTGTAACTTGACAGAATCATCGATGAGAAATCAATCCCAGAGTTCACCCGCCCAGCAGGACAGAGGTGGGTCATGAAGACGATAGAAGCTCCATGTCGGGCCAGGGACTTTGAGGCTCTGAACTTTACACGACTTAGAGGTGGGTTTGTTGGTTCTGAACTTTACATGTCTTAGAGTGGGTTGGTTGGTTCTAAACATTACACGACTTAGAGATGGGTTGGTTGGTTCTAAACATTAAACGTCGTAGAGGTGGGTTTGTTAGCTCTTAGTGGTGGGTTTGTTAGCCCCAAACTTTACACGTCTTTAAAGGTGGGTTTGTTTGCCCTAAACTTGAGACAAAATTAAAGGTGGGGTTGTTAGCCCTAAATTTAACACTTCTTAGAGATGAGTTGTTAGTCAATCAAACGGTTAATGTTTTGTAATTGTTACGAAGTAATCCTTTGCAAGATCTTTAACACATGATTAGATACAATACTATGAGCATTGAAATTATTTAAAATAAATTAACTTTTCACCTTATATTTTTTGCAATAGTTAAACTTGGAATTAAAATTAAATTGGTCATTTTGGTTAAAAAGCGCACAAGTTAATTTACGTAAGAAATACATCTGTGAACATTAAATTCAACAATGGTCTTTACTCTGCCGGTTGTTTAATCTGCTGTGAATGTCAAATGTAAATGAGACTCTCTTTCTTCTATATAAAAAACAACTGTTTTTGATTAATGGATATTAAGATTTGCTGCAATCTCAGTTTACAAAATAAATACTGTTGTCATGTAGTAATGAACAATACAAAAAATCTTAACTAACACTATTTTATACGAAACTTACAACTTCTATTATTTTCTCTAAACTAGGTCAGTTCAACTGGACCATGACCTTCCGCCTAGACTCAGACATCCCCCAGCTTTACGGGACGCTCGAAAGACTTTACGACGTCCCCAAGAAAAACTACGACCAAATTTACTCGTCTAAAACCTTCCAGGCCGCCTGGTTCGTCAGCCATTGCTACGCTCAAAGTATGCGAGGTGTGTACGTAGAACGTATGAGATCAGTTCTTGACGTCCACATCTTTGGTGAGTGTGGTGACGGCAACCATACTTGCCAGGAGGGAACTAACAGACGTCATGCAGACAGTGACGTCTGCCTGCCCATGCTTTCCCGCTCTTATTTTTTCTACCTGGCTTTCGAGAATTCGATATGTAAAGATTACGTCACGGAGAAATTTTTCAAACTTTTCTACGACGTTGACGTCATACCGGTCGTCCGAGGCGGAGCAGACTACAAAAGTTTTTTCCCGCCCAAAACTTTTGTCGACGCGGCGGACTTTGATTCCCCGGAAGAGCTGGCCGTGTATTTGCGGAAGTTGTCGCAAGACAAACAGCTGTACCTGCAGATGCTGGAAGAAAAAAACAAATACCGGACCGTGCCGGAGGTGCCGTGGATGTGCAACTTGTGCCGGAAGATGATGCAAGACTCTAGTGTACAGTGGTACCCGGATATCTGGAGTTGGTACGTGCAAGACCAGTGCCACAACCCTAAGACCGTCTAGTGTAGTGGTTAGGGGTATTTGGACTTCGAATGTGCAAGAAGAGTTCCAAAATCCTGTCATGTGTTTAATCATTGTGTCATTCGTTTCTTCTGTATATAAGACAGTTATTATAGTAACATCTTTAAAAAGCTTATAATCTTCATACCATTAAAATAATGTATTATGGAAGTTGTTTTAGTCTAGAGATATTTTTTACAAAATATGAAAGATCATTTTAAAAGATTTATTGTCTATTCACTCAATTAACATACAACAAAAAGAAAGCAATTATTAGCTACTGTTTAATTTTTTTTTTTAGGTAATTATTAATCACCAACCACTTGTATTTGAATGATGAAGTTAGTTAGAATTAGCCAAATATCTAAAACATAATAGTTAGAATCAGCCATATATATATATATATATATATATATATATATATATATATATATATATATATATATATATATATATATATATATAAACATAATTCATTAATTAGAAACATGTTAATGACCTCATTCGAAAAAATTTAATTTTTTTTTCAATCACAAAAATACATAAATAAAGATTTTAAAAAATAGTAAGGACTCTTTATATTTTGGATACATTATTTGAAAATGGTAACTGCTTATGATTTTTTAACAATGGTCACGTGTTCTGTTTCTAAGAAATAAACAGCTTTTACAAGGGGAAGCAAATCGTAAATGAAAGCTATTTAAAAAAAAAAACACAATTCAATACTGTATTTTATTTATAAAATATTTTAGTTAACATATGTTTTCTACAGCAGTCTACTAAACTGCTTGAAAGTATAGTGTATAAAAATGACAGTTTCATCAAAGCAGCATAAAAGATCAAAGTCTAAACCATGACAGAAAGCGTTTTTGTCAAACATTATGTATACAACAATTAAGACCTATAAAAATATTCAATGTACTAATAAGTTACATAAGGTTACAAATAAAATTTTAAAAAATTACAGGAAGCAATTCAATGCGATTATAAAATGCTACGTAAAGCAAAAACAGAATTTTAAAAAGGTACAACGATTTAAATATTTTTAGAAATTTGCCTCCAGCTACAATTATTATTAAGCAAAAACCTGTTAATATGCTACATTAAAATAAGTTTGCATCTCATTAAAGTTAAAAATGTATTAATTAATGTTTTGTCACTAATGTCTTTATCAATTGACTAATTCTAAAACACATATTTAAGTAATAAATTGTATCCAAAAACCTATCATTACAACACCTGAAGATAAGAGTGAAGCTAAAATATCGAACATGATTTTTTTTGCATTGGAAACGTGTCATAAGCCCTTGGGTTTTGGACAGTTATTTGTTAGTAAAACAAAACTGAATATTGTATATATTTATATATATATATATATATATATATATATATATATATATATATATATATATATATATATATATATATATATATATATAAATGATAACTTTTTATTCAGAAAACATTTGGGTAGGGAACTGTTTACAGAAGAACGATGTTAATAACAATCTTTTTTTAATTTCTCTTTGATGTTTTAACTGGCAAAATTCCTGAATATCTATAGAAAAAACTATAGCTTTTCAAATATGACACATATGATAAAAGTAGTATTAATCATATCACTCTACATCGTTGTTGCAACAAACAAGTTGTATTCAAACTGCATGACTTACATTAAATATTTAGTGACATTTTATTGGTCAAGTATTGAAAGAATTTCTATTCTGAATTAAGTGACATGTTTCATATCAGTAAAGTGAACAATCTATTCAGCTACAGACGCTTATGTAATAGCATTGGTTTGATACTTTGACGAACAAAATATATTCGAATATGTTTTAAATTGGATCCTCATTTTTGTAAATACAACATGAAATGAATACAATTTATATAAGCAATATAAATAGTTTAAGTAAATACCAGTCTAAATCCTAATTAAAAGCTATTAATATAATGCCAGCTTTATGATTTAGACTAATTATAAAAATGCTATGTTAAGTTAAATACATAGAAACGTAAAATATTGATCAATCGTGATAAAAAGGTAACCTAAATATAATGGGCACATAAAGTATAAAATCCAATTGGAAAAAATAATTACATCTAGTTTTTAAGATGTAATGCTAGAAACAGCAACACGTAGTTAAAAAAGTATTAGAAAAAATGTATAGAGGTGATCCAAACAGAGATGATGAAAATACAAATTGAATATTTAGAATATGCAATGAACATTTTTTTTAAACATTATAATTTAAGAAAACTAGTACATCAAATTATTAAAAAAAAAAGTAGATTCTTTATGATTGCTCTTTCTATTTCATTCGTTTATGTTCTGTCGGCCATACTCATGCATGACATAAATTACTTGCTTTAAAGCTTAAGCCAAACAGAAGGATAAAATCTCTAAACTATAATACATTGCATCATAATAGCGTCAATTTACGCATTTAAATTTGTAAACATCATTCATAAACACCAGCTCACCTGACCGATCGAATTATCTCCCCTTCTGATTATTCCTCAATTTTAATTACATGACCCACTGTGTCGAAAAATTGATACGTTCTTGTGTTGTCTTAAGAGATACACTCACCTCATGTAGAAATGGGTATGATTGAGTTATGGGATGTAACTACAAAGTGACTGACCGACTAGTGGACAGACAATATGGGTTGTGTTGTGTGTCAATTTGTCTCTCAGTGAATTTATATTCATCTTGTATTAGCTCAATATGGCCCATATCTACATGAGTGATTTATTTCAAACTTGCAGGTAAGTGTATCTCTGAAGATAACACAAACGCTGTGAGCTAAGTGAATTTTATGTTTGCCACTGTAGAGTTAAAAAGTACAAATAATTTGAAGAAGTTTAATGGTATTCAGACGCAACGAAATCGCAAGTGTAAGACTAGTTATCCTTACTTTAACACAAACTTCACTTTGACAAAAATTTAATTCATAAGTTCCTTGAACTATTGGAGGTTTACCAAAATTTGTTTTAGTTGTTGATCTATAAATAAAATACAACTATATAAATAACACATTTTAATAATACCAATAAACTAGATAGATGCAATATTTAGTATTAAAAATATATTTTGTTTTTGCAATTTATTTTGTGTTACAAGTTGTATCGATTTTTAAACTATCAATCGCTTGGCGCAAAGATAAATTAGATATTTTCCCTAAAACAGATTTTAATTTCGTAATTACATCGTTTCGTTTCGCCTTTCTATCTTGAGCCAGTGTGACATGTTGAGTCACAAATTTGACTACATGCTCTCTTTTAAACGTGTACACGTTGGCCGCAAGGGGGCAGTCTGTATCACGGACCTCTTCAATGTTGGTGTAGGACTGGAATTTGTACTCTCCAACTTCACCCTGTGGCTCATGGTTTAGCCAGTTAAACATGGCCCATAATGAGCTTTCTTTAAAATCAGCATAACTATGAACAATATTGTAAACCTTAGTTAAAATAAAATCTGACGTTTTATTTAGAAATGCCTGAGTTGTACAAAATCTTTCAAAATCTTCTGCTATTAAGCTGGATAATTTATTGCAAACAGATTTGGATCCAATTGTTATAGCATTATCATGTAAAAATAAATAATTCTGTTTAGACAAATTTCTTTCTATGTATTCTTCACACATTTGTGACAACAGCGGAACTTTTAGGTAGCAGCAAGCAAACCAAATATCGATCATTTCCATCTCATTTATCGCCAGACTTCCTGTCGTTATCGCTTTCAGAACTTTCCCGAAAATGTGTGGCTTAATTCCATTTATCACAACCCTAGAATCCGAATTCAGCTCTTGTCGAGCAACATCGTTGTCGATAAATGACTGCATTGCTTTAAACTCCATTGGGTCTGAACTTACTGACTGCCGAATCAATTCAGTACAAGCGCTCACATTAGATGCTGTTTTTCTTTCTTTGGAATCTTTGCTTAGTGCTTCACGAAAAAACTCAGAAATTGCACAAAGCTGAATTTTTGTTGCTTTGAACTCTTGACCTTCAACGATTATGGTGCAGTCGTAAAGATTATTCACACTCACATAATCGTTTATTGCTTGTAAAAAGGTGCTTGCCTCAATCTCCATATTTAGTTTTAATGCTGTAATGTTTGGGGGGGGGGGGGGGAAAGGTAACTGAGAAATTTATAAATGAGCTAAAAGACATTATAACATACATAAATTATGAAGAATTTCTTTTTGTAGTTTTTATGTGCTAAACTATGTTAAGCTAGCGTTAACCCCTCTGGATTAAAGAGAATAAATGTGTGCCTAAGAATCCTTACCATAACAGAATTTTCCAGAAAAACACACAAATGGAAAAATACGCTGAAGTACAAGAAATTAATACTACACATAATAATAACTATACAAATCATAAGATAGTAAGCGGTACATATTCGTCACTGGTCGCTTCTATTTAATTATTTCCAAGAGCGCCTTATATTTATTTTCTAAGCTCTGTATAATGGCCACTGCAGTTTTTAATATTGCTATCTCAGAAAGTAACGAACATTTACGCACGCTTTTTTTCAAGAGAGTCAGCCTTCTCACCCCTCCCCCCGTACTATTCTTATTCATATTGTTTGCAGTTCTATAAATTTAGTCATTGAAGTTTAGCTTTATTTTCCATGTCAGCTTAATATCTTATTCGTAAACATTCCATGGTCTTTCAACACTGCAACTATGGCATTGCTTCACTGGTGCCGTGCATATGTGTATCATGCCCTTCCTCTTTAAGATCTCTAGCTGACCAGTCACAAGTATAGGCCATATTAACAGAATCCTACTTAGTGCCTGGTTCTGGGCGTACTTAGAGTTTACGAAATAAAAAACACGAAAGTGAGTTTTTGCAGCACTGAATTGTGTTATGTATTTGTTATTAAAAACGACTCAACAGTAAAAAAATTACATTTTCGTTAATTTTTTTTTTAAAACATGAATGACCGTGACCCTCTTATCCTTAGAGAAAAGAGGATTTACCCTCTGTCAATAATCGAATGGTAAGTTATCCCTTACTTTACCACCAGACGAATTACACCTGTTAATTAAAAAAAAAT